ATGGGGGAAAGATGTCCAAGACCTTCCAAGACGCACCGTAGACACAATGGCGCCGATGATGTTGACCCCAGGTGAGTGAAAGTACGCATGGAAGAAGTTGAATTCTTGAGATACAACAGATCCGATGATGCCGGAATCGCTGAGAGCGTTGAACACGGACTGAGGGCGGGTTTACGTAGGTATGAGCTATATGAGACGTACTATCCTGGAGGGGGGAATAAGTTGGCCGGGACGAATATTACAGCTCAAAAACTCACCAAAGAGAAACCTAGAGAGAGTCATAGTCACGTCAACACCAACTCCGAAAAACAAAGAAGAAAAGCACTCACGACCCGAGGGCAGAGAACAGTGCGACGGAGAAGTTATAGAAAAGCCCCATTTTGGCTTGAGATGGAGGGCGAGCACAAGAGTCGCCATACCCATACCCTTCTTATACACGGATAGCTCCGTAGGACGCAAGAATACACATCGTCACGTTATGATAGTCATTAGAATGCCCAGAAATACAGGCAGACACATGGGCCACAATTTGACAGTACGGGAGTGCAGGCTAGTCACAGGACTGCTTCTGGCGCGGCGTTTGATCGATTCAAACGGTAAGTTTTGAATGGGGGGAGAATAGAACGCGGGATGTGCAGAGAATCGAGATCCGGGGCTCGGTCAAAAAATGGATGGAAGTTGGGTATCCATAATAGCCACTCGATACCGGTCCGAGTCGATGCACGCGAGCGCGCCGAAAACTCTCTGCATTGAGCGAGGAGCTAGGGAGATTGTCTCCTTACATCTTGATTATAGTGTCTGTCTTCGACCAAAGGCTCTATGATTGCCGTTGACGACAACTGTAAAGACGGGACGGTGGACAACCATACCAAGAGAGGCTACGGCAACCCACACCGAGTCAGCGAGCGGATTAGCAAACAGCTGACAGAATCTCTCGATGGCAGATACACACGCTATTATCGACCAGGACGTGGCCACAAGGTCAAACGATTCTCGATGAGGTTGAGGAGGTGGATGTAAAAATCTCACGCATAACGGCGTTCCTGATGTGACATATCCTATTAGAGAATGATCAGCGTCACGCTACCTCTCCTCTGCTTCTTCAAGTTCCTCCATTCAAAAAGGACTGCTGCCCAAAAAATGCCACCCTTGTTCCCTCCGCCAACTGACATGCTATCCAGCATGCTCGGTATGATGCGCGACATGGAACCCGTCTCTGCCCAGAGCATTGCCCAATCTTTCGGCTTGCTCGACGGCAAGTGGAAGGATTTCGTGATGGACAAGTGCTCCTTCGGAGAGCGGATGATAGGTGGGATGAATGTAAGAACAGAACATTAGCGATCAACCGCCTCACCGATCTTGCACTAAATATCCCGGGCAGCACGGCAAATTCTGCGAGAAGACGTTCGGGAAAAATCCTGCTCTCGAACCTATAACCAACGAGGTATTGCGCTCATTTCACTGCTTGTGGCCCGCTTATAGACAGAGATTCTCTTCAGTTTGCTGCGCTGCATCTGCCGATTCTGATCGAGGCGTATACCTCTGCATATGAAACGCGGAAACCTCTTGCCGATAACTGGATGGACTCCTGGGAGCGCTACTACGCGTACGTGCTCCGGGACTGCGTTCAGACCATGTTCTTCTCGCGATGGATGCGCCACCACTCGCCAGAGTCCAACAACCTCATGAACAAGCTCGCGGGTCAAATTGCGCAGTTTCCTCTCGAGGTCTGTGCGCTCTACGAACTTTTCCAGATCCCGACCTGAATTCATGGGCCCTCCAGTGGCCAGAAGTTTGCGAGGCGCAGCGCCAGCTCGAGCGTCTTGGCATTTTCGTCTGGGTCGCCCTTCGCACCCGGCAGTGCTCTCCCAAACATGCTGTCCACATCCCGCTCGAAACACGCCAGAAGGTTATCCCATATCTCAAAAATCTCAAGGTTCTCGTCAACAGCGAGCTCCGAAATCCTAAATGGCGCAAAGGCAGGCCCTGTCTCCTCTTCCCTCCAAATTGCTGAATGAGGTCGGCACTGCAGATCTTGCAAAAGACAACTTGACAGAGGCACTGAGACATATCAAAGTATCACTGGAGCAGTATTTCGATGGCGAGCAGCGGTTTGGTGGGACTCGCGACGTGACGTGTGTCTGATCCCTTCACGTATTCTTCTTATTAAATCCAAATGCAGGATGCTTGCGGAGCATCAGCAGCGCTGGGATGTCTGCGCCGCCAAGTCCTCGAACTGTACGCTCAGCGACAAGCACCGATTGAGAGAGTGCGCGAAGGTAAGCTTTTTTGCTCGATTACCACACCCCGTTTTTATAAACGAACATTTCAGTGCCACACAGTTCGTTATTGCTCGCCGGGTAAGCGCTTCGTTCTTCCAGTTCCGCCGAAAAAAATCTCATTCTCTGGGAAGAGCATCAGCGACAACATTGGAAGGAGCACAAGCCCACTTGTTTCACACCTTCGTACTAGGTTGCCGCAGCGTAACGTCCTTGCAGCACAAAGTAAACATCTGCTACGTTATCTTCGAAACTAACTCGAGTATGTATGTCACTTCTGACCGTATACTGTTCAAATTATTGCATCTGCAAGCTGTGAACCTTCTTCCTTCGTCTTGTAGTTCATTCAGTGCCCTCTCATTTGAGATTTCCTTCCTTTGCCCTGCAATGTTGACCGGTGTAGGGCCGTCACGTCATGGCACAAAACTCGATTGATGGTGGCGATACAACCTAGACCCCTATTTGACCAGTGAACGTCTCAAAGTCCCCTCACAAGAAAATGACCACCGCTCCACGCATAGGTGTGTGCCCCCCTCCCCCGTTTACCCCTCCCCCTCTCATGCCAAGCATGCCAGACAGCGACTATGTGCTCGAAAACTTCAACGCATACGCCGAGGGTATAATAAAGATCCTGTCCGCCCTGCAGTCCAACAATGGAACCGAGAATATCGACATCGACCCCAACACGACCTTCACGGCGCTCCGTAACTCCTTTGCGGAAGCCCAGTACGAGGGCGTCGCCAAGTTCTTCGGCCTCGTTGGGGACGAAGAGGAACCGTTCAAGGAGTGGAAGGACATCGATGTTCCCCTTGTCGTGCTACCGACGTCGGTTATCGAGAAGGTCGCGGCGAGGACGATGGAGTCGTTCGTGCGCGAGCCTGCGACGGGGTTGTTCCGTGGTGGGGTGAGTACTTCCGTTACCCGTGAAGCGGTTTACGATCCGTGAAGCGGTTTACGATGAAATTGCTCACAGGCTTTTCAATCTCTGGTCTCTCTTTTCGGAGGTATCCTGCAATCCAGGTCAGAACACACAGCTTCTGGGACAGATTTTAGCAGCGGCGAGGAAGCGGCTATTTTCTGTCATGACGAGATGCTGTTTTTCGTGCGCGAGTTTAAAAACCACCGCCGATCGGAAAAGAAGAAGTTCCTCAAAGTGTTCGCCCAAGTACTATGCGAGTTATTCGGTGCGCTGTTACTTGAATTCAAAATGCCAGCGGCCAATGATGCTGATTCGGGTGGTTATACAGGCGTATGGCACCTAAATCGCAGAAAGAATGAAGACATCGACTCTACCATGCTCATCCCAATTCACGCATGTCTCTACGACGCAACCGATTTCTATTTCCTCTCCTACGACGGACTCGGTTTCCGAAAGCGCATTTTCCGCAATAACGTGGCGCCTCAAACGGGGGGACGAAACGTCCAAGACTATGTGTATGAGACCTTGCGGGGTAAGGTTCAACTTCAAAACCATCGCCATTACTTATTTGAAAACAAAAAACGCTGACATTCGAGTCTAGTGCACATGTACACGTTCGCATTGCTGCTCGAAGGGTACAACAGCGCCGTCACACTGCAGTATGAGCGTTCAGTGCGGCGGAATTTACTCCTGGGGCCGAATGTAAGTAGTGTAAGCACCATCGAAATTTCATGCGTTACGCTAAGCTGAGTCCAAATCGTTTCAGGTTGGGCGCGGCGCGCGCAGAGACACTGGGCCCAGCACAACAACAGCAAGAGGCTGGCGCACTGCGTGCCGCCTGGCGTACGAATCGCGCGCCTTTCTCCAGAGAGCGCAAGACGTGCACTCGAACGAGCCCGCGGAAAAGGGGCTCCGGCGTCTTGCTGAGAGGTTGGTTGTGCTTTAATTCTCCTCCTCCTTCTCTTTCCTTCGATAATAAACAGCTCACTCGCTCATACTGCAATAGTGTAGAAGTGTGGTCGCCGGCTCAGGGAGGTGGAGGAGTCATCCACCTCCGAGTCCTCCTCCCACCCCAGGTGAAAGTTGTGGCAGAATTAATCGCGAAGCGCCACGAGCGGACTCTGCAGGCGGACTACGATCTCAAATGGGTGCCGCCCCACTTCCCCGGTGTTGAATCAGCGACTGTGCAAGTAAGATTATATACCTCACTTCAAGTCATCTTCATCTGAGTACCAAAACCAATTCAGGAGCGCAAGAACCGCGCCGCAGACGCCTTCTGGGCGGGCCTGCACCGCAGCTTCCGCACGCTCTTTGAGCCGATGATGCTTTTCAAAGGCGACACCTTCCTCGGTCTTTCCGTCGCCGCCCGCGAGCCGCGCGAATACCAAGCGATCTTCGAGAAGCGCGCACCGCGGTTCATGGCGCTCGTGTTGATAAAGAAGCTGGAGGAGTCGCAGCAGGAAGGGAACTGGGTGGAGGATTGGGAATAATGGTCCGAAAAAAAGTTGTCCATTTTTTCAAAATGTTTCAGTTATGTACAATTATTGCCTATTGCCCATCCTCGGCCCGGGGTAGATGGATCCCTCAAAAGAAAGCGACCTCCGCTGGAGGCTACATATAGAAATCCACCCTGAACAGGATGCCACACATAAACCACCCACATTCTTTCTTTTACCGCGGGCACCCTCGGTCAAAGCGTCAAATATCGAGTCACGTGGATATATCATTCAAGTTTGGGATTCCAGGCCTACTGTCGTGGACAAACTGCAAAAAAGGACCAACGCCACCCTTCAAAAAGATGATGCCACGGCTGGGAATCGAACCCACGTAGAACGATGAAAAGCGCGGAACTACGTATTCGTATCGTGCGCCTAACCTCTCGGCCACCGCAGCGTTCTACGCAATTTCATACAGCACCTTTGCAAAATTCGGTAGGTAGGTACATAGGTACTTAGGTATTACCTCAATATAATTCCCTTTTTGGGGCGCTATCAACAGGGAAAAGGAGGACACGCAGAGATGGATGGATAAGATAAATATGTATAGATACCGAGGGAAGGGGGTGGGAGCGAAGCCGTACGTCGGAATATCGGCCGCGACGACGAGGAACCGCGACTCGGAGGCAATGTGAAGAAAGCGGGACTCGGGATTCGGACGAAGAGTCGCCACCCCACGACGAAGACACAAGACGCCGCACGTTAAACGCCGCGCGCTGCATTCCCGTTTCCGTGTCCGCCAGCAGGCGAGTCCTTCCCTTCCCTTTCGTCTCCTTTCCTTTCCATCGCACATCCGATGCGACGCCGCTACGCAGATACACCAAACACGCACGCCCCGCCGATCTCGTCGGGTCCAAAGCGCCGCAGTTACTGAATGACGCAACCTCCGCCCTAACGACTGGCGACGATGCGCCGAGACGAGGATCCGAGCTGGGGTGGGGTGGGGTGGAGGTGCGAGGCGGACGCTGCATCACATTGCATTGGAGCCCAGACTCCGGAGGAAGCCCTCTCGCGTCGAGTCCAGGGTAAGCCGCGGCAATGCGCCTCCGCCTCCGCCTCCGCCTTCGACCCCCACGGCTCCGATGGGATGGGATGGGATGCAGTGCCAGGAGGGTGTGCATCGCACGTCCGCCTCGCAGGGTGTTCTATTCGTCGAGAGCCAGCGGGAGCCGGAGGAGACGGAGTCAGAGAGGGTCGACGCTCCCGCCGCGTTCACGCTCTCCGCCCCCAGCATCCGTGCGCCTTCCCCCGCCTAAGACTACAAATTGGATGGAGCGTATTCGGGTCCTGGTCCACCCTCCCCAGCGTCCGCGCGCCTCCCACCCCGCACTCGGAGTCGGGGCTCGCCACCCCAAGCGTGCACGTCCGAGCTTGGAGCATCCATCCCGCACCTCGAGTCGAAGCCGAAAGGTCAGTTCGAGCACAAGCAGGAGCACGAGCGCGAGCACCGAAAGTAATGGACGCGGCCGGACGTGGGCTAGAGTGACACAGCCCAAGGACCGGGGACGTCGTCGATTGCAGCGGCGGCGGATACACGTCAGACGCGGGAGGGGACGTCGGAGTCGGACGGGCGGGGAGAAGACGAAGGAGAGAGCGAGGACGAAGGCAAGGGCGCGCATCACATCCTAGGCGCAGTCGACATCGCCATCTGCATCGCACACGCGCGATTTGCCGCGCGCGTGCAGCTGCTCCCCCGTCGAGGGTCTCATAGCCGGCCAGACTTCGTATTGACTCGGACGGCTCCATGTCTCTCCCCGCACCCATCCGCCCGTAGTTAAAAAACGCGCGGCGTGGGGGATCCGAGTCGGGGGAGGGGAGCGGCGGATGAATGGGTCCAAGGCGGGAGAACGAGTCAGATATATAGTCGGGGTCCGGGCGCTGCGAGTGTGATGTGCGAGATAAACGGAGGGAAGGAGAGGGCGACGGGGCATGGATGCTTCAGATACGTAGATATCGACGCGGATGTTGGCCAGCGCACGCGTTTCGTCACAGTTATGGCGGCGGGTCCTGCGGGGCGCAAAGCACATCAATGTAAGGAAATGGAATTCGAGGTCGGGCAGAGAAGGCGTAGATCCACACGGATGGACGGGTTGCAAGGGATGTTGTGTAGAGGGAGGAAGCCGTCTTCTCGGCCATTCGCAGGTCAGTGTGCAGCTCTCATCGGCGCGGAGCACGGCGGGGAGAAGAGCTCCGGACTCGGAGGACGTCGACGTATCGGCCAGGAGCTGCGCGACGACATATGAACAACTGTCTGGCACGAATGGATGCAAACCTTTCAAGTTTACTCACCGCACTTGATTGATACGCCGCGCGTCGTCCCAGCTTTCATCGTGGCCTATCCGAGCCCATTATATTTATATTGTGCCAACCAGCAGTCCTCTTGAGCATACAGTGGAGACCATGGAAAAAGTGCACTTGGCTGTGGTCGGAAGAACACGATGACGGTGGCGATGCACCAGCTCCGGCCATCTCCGGTTTTCAACCGATGTGATTTTGAGTTCGAGTCTTCGACACTCGTCCTGCCAATTCAACCTCTCAAGAAATCGGCGCTCAGCGCGGCGGCTGAGATGCGAGGGAAAAGGGGGAGTTTGAGGGATAACCTGGGTCCCCATCCAAGTCCCGTACAAATAAATTACTGTCCTTCCTCCACTACTTAGTCGTACTCATATCCCCCAGCGAGTTGGGAGTTAAAAAAGGGGTGGACGCCGTTAAAATGAAAAGGCTCGCTAGTACCGCAGGTTCTTTTGGAAACAAAAAAAAACGAGAGAGTTTTCAAGACAGTGGCTCGGGCCCGAGTCGAACGGGCATCATCTGCAGAAGCAGATCCAAAGTATACAAAATTTCAGATTAATTTCAGCTCAGCAGCTGCGGACCACCCGCCACCGAGCCATATCTACAGCCTTTAAAACTAGGGAATCATGAGTAAACAAAGGATCGGTTTTACTCAAAATGAAGTAAGTGCACTCACTGGCAACACTTACATGTAAGTCTTACCACAATTCGGGGTGGTCATAAAATACCAGGACACAAATCCAAGGAATCTGGCATGTCATTGAAGAAAAAATAAGAAAAGGGAAAAAATCAATCTACAAGTCACATATCACATGGCTTTGGCCCGAGTCGAACAGGCATCATCTGCATGGAACCTTACAATAAACTTTTCCACATACTGCAGCTGTGGACCATCCACCACCAAGCCTTGTTTCTGTAGTTCGGAAATGGGTGAGGAGGAGTCAAATTGAACCTGAGGAGTCTTAATTGTACAAAAGAAAATCACTAGCACCGACTACATGCCAGTGGCTCGGGCCTGAGTCAAACAGGCATCATCTGTAAGTAAATGCAATGAAGAACTTACCGCGAAGTTCCACAGCTGCAGGCCGTCCGCCACCGAGCCTTATTCCTGCAAGGAAGAAAGAGGCCAGGAAGAGTAAACTAAAGAGCGTCCGTCTATGTCACTGTGTTCTATTCATGCAGAGCCAGCAGGAGCCGGAAAAGACGGAGTCAGAGAGGGACGAAGCTCCCGCCGCGCTCATGCTCTCCGCCCCCAGTATCCGTGCGCCTTCCCCCGCCTAAGACCACGAATTGGATGGAGCGTACTCGGGTCCCGGTCCACCCACCCCAGCGTCCGCGCGCCTCCCACCCCTCCCTCGGGAGTCGGGGCTCGCCACCCCAAGCGTGCACGTCCGAGCTTGGAGCATCCCGCACCTCGAGTCGAAGTCGAAAGGTCAGTTCGAGTACGAGCAGGAGCACGAGCACCAAGCAAGCAAGCCAGGAGTGCGCGAGGAATGTAACCGGCGAGGCCCTAGGGAGGGTACATCGATATTCGATCGCAGCGGCGGCGGGCACACGTCACACACGGGCGAAGGCGAGCGCGAGCGCGAGGCGCATCCTATCCGGAGCGCGGTCGGCGGTCCATCGGCGTCGATATCGCTATTGGAGAGGACCCGCCAGGGACGTCTGCGCAGTCGTCTGCCTCCGCGCCGGCTTTTCTCCTGCATCCTACATCCTACATCCTCACCGCGCGCAGCCGCCAGTAGCCAAAAAAACTGCGCGTGCGCATGTGTGCGTGCGGGATCGGATCCGAGGGGGTGGGGGTGCAGCGGATGAATGGGGCGAAGTCGAGAGGAGGAGTCAGATAGTTGCGGTTATGGGCGCTTGCGGGTGGATGGATACGGATGCGAGTACGCGAGACGAAGCGGAAGGGGACGACGGGGCCCCGAGCGCTCCAGGACGGCATGGGATGCTTCAAGTGCGACGATATCGACGCGGATATGACGGATCGTCACACGATGATGGCTCGCAGGCAAGGCGGCGGGGTCCTGCGGAGAATGGATGCGCGTTAGAAGTGAATGCGTAAGACGCCAGTAAGCAGGCGCAAAGTGTATTACAGTAATGTATGGAAATGGAATCCGGGTCGCGGTCGGGGCAGAGGAGGCGCAGATCGACACGGATGGGTAGATCGACACGGATGGGCGGGTTGCAGGGTATGTTGTGTAGAGGCAGGAAGAAAGGACACACCTTCACCGTCGATTCAGGCATTCTCAGGCATTCGAGGGTCAGTCGCGTGTGTCATCGGCGTGGAGCACGGCGGGGAGGGGAGCTATGGAGGACGTCGACGTATCGGCCGGGAGCTGCGCGACGAAATATGAATGTCTGGCACGAAACTGTTATTCGCCGCACTTGGATGATAGGACGCGCGTCGGCCCAGCGCTCATCGCGGGCAAGCAGAGCCAGTTAGATTGTCCCAACCTACCGTCGCCTTGAGCTTACTGTGGCGACCATGGAAAATGTACACTTGGTTGTGGTGTGGTCGGGAGCAACACGGAAACGGTGGCGATGCACCAGCTCCGGCCATCTCCGACCGTACTCCGATTGAACCGGGAGCTCAGCGCTCATCGATATTGTTTAGGTCTCGGAGCAAGGGATAAAGAGGAAATTATTGAGAAAGACAGAGAGCTGGCTCGGGCTTTGACGTAACTTCCAGCTTTCCAGCATGTTCCGAGTTCGGGGCCTTCGGGCCAAACGTCCACAGCCTCTTCCCGCCTCTTATCAGAGATTTGGGCGCTGAAGAAAGGAGTGGATCCTTTGAGATTGAAAAGGCTCGCTAGTACCGTAGGTTTTTTTTGGGTTCTTTTAAAAAAAGAAAAAGAAAACCATCAGGTCTTCAAGACAGTGGCTCAGGCCCGAGTCGAACAGGCATCATCTGCAGTTAGTGGGCATTTTCAACTGCTATAACTTCAGCAGCTGCAGACCACCCACCACCGAACCATATCCAGGGCCTTCAAAAACTAGGGAATCATGAGTGAACGGAGGATTGGTTTTACTCAAAATAAAATGAATGCACTCAGGCTCACTGGCAACACTTAAGTATTGTGCCATGTGATAGTCAACCACCAC